TGCTTATCTGGAAGTTAGTGCATCTCTCATTATACCAGTGTAAATATTGATGCTGAATTTATTGCTGAATGAATGCAAACAAATGTAAAATGAACATTAACAGGTCAAGTAAATGAACAAAACTTTAGGGATGATGAATAGGATGTGTGTATATTTAAATAAACATAAATTATGAATAACCACAATATTTGTCATAGTTGTGCCCCATCCATCTATAGATTCTATTCATTGAAGAGAAATCATGAATTCCTATTAGTCAATTGGAATGTGAAAGATCAAGAATTTCATGTTGATACTGAAGGCTTTTGTAATTTTGGGTGTGCATATATTTATCATAATTGAAAATTTCACTACATAATGGTGTATTGAGAGGACTTGTAAATTCCTTTATCAAGAATGATATATCGTTATAAAGTTTTAAAGATTGATTTTTCTTCACAATAATTTTTTTTTTTATTAACACATTGACTATTTCCCACCAAGGTAGGGTGGCCCAAAAAAGAAAAACTTTCACTATCATTCATTCATTCACTGTCTTGCCAGAGGCACACTTACACTGCAGTTATAACACTGCAACATTAACACCCCAATGTAAATAAGTCACTGTTTGACTTTTTTGGGTTATCCTAGGTTCTTTACACATATGCTGCTATGTATGATAATCTATGTAACTATTTGTGTATACCTGCATAAACTAACTTACTTACCCTCCTTCAGAGTGCAGGCACTGTACTTCCCATCTCCAGGACTCAAGTCTGGCCTGCTGGTTTCCCTGAATCCCTTCATAAACATTACCCTACTCACACTCCAACAGCACGTCAAGCCCTAAAAACCATTTGTCTCCATTCGCTCGTATCTAACACGCTTATGCATGCTTGCTGGAAGTCCAAGCTCCTTGCACACAAAACCTCCTTTACCCCCTCCCTCCAACCTTTCCCTGCCTTCCCTCCACTACAGAATTATACACTCTTGAAGTCATTCTATTTTGTTCCATCCTATTACAAAAAATGCCAGCTAATGGTCTTATAATTCATTTGTCAAAAACAAGTTCTTCTTCGCACTTATTGGTTTACTTGGCACTTATAAATAGGTTAAAAATTAAGATATATATATTGGATGTTTATTTCATTACAAAGTATCACTTTTACAAGGGCAAGAGTGCTACACACTCACAATTGACCCATTGAGGGTGTATGTCAACCCTCTTGAACCATTACACAACCTAGATTCTCCCTACTTGTGATACTTTACAACTAATTTCATGTACTGTATTTGAGAGTAAAATACAATCAAATGTTAAATTTTTCAATGACAATATTGTGTGCATTTTAACAATGTATATATTTGTGCACTTAGCAACAATTTAAAAGGACGTTAATCTGTTCCTGTTATATAGGTTACATTTAAATGCTGTAATACCTAATAAAATATACAATTTGTTGCAATGTATGGTTTTTAAAATTCATATATGTTAAATCTATGTCTAATTAAAATTTAACATACATATTTAAAATCAACTATTAATGTCACACAAAGGCATAGCCAGCATGACACGGTTTATTAACTCAGTTATTAAAGATCACAAATATGTATTGAATTTTCATAAAAATCTAAAAAAGTTTTCCTTACAAATTTTATACACAAAGCTGACAAATGGTGGGCACTATGCCATAGTTCAACTGGAGTGTGTACCACAAGGCCCTGTCCTAGCTGATCTGGTATATTTGCTTGATGGAAAACTTGCCCAGGCCATTTGTGCCAGCAACTCCTGGCTATGGTTTTGGCGATAATGGAGCACAGCTGGTGGTGGGTCACAAGCCTGTCCAGCACAAGTGACTCACAAGGTTTGACTCATGAGCCTGTGGATAATTAAGGATACTGGCTATCCCATGGCACCTTAGGCCAGATCAAGCCATCTACTCTTAACTATGGCAAATCAGATATAAATTATGCTCCTATCAAACTACTTCAAATGGTTAACTACTTTTTACCATGCTATTAAATTCTCTTGGAAGGAGAAGAATCTGGGGTCTAGAAAATTACAATATAAAAGCTTACAGAGCTTGCCATCTTGATGAACAACCATATAGCTTAACAGGACCCGGCGTCCCATGGAGGGGTGAGTCCCGCAACTTGTGGTGAGATATGGCATGGAGGAGGCCAGGGGCAGGCGCTGTGTTAGACACAAGCGGCGCGCCAGGTCCAGCCTTGCCCTCGCCCCCGTCCGCCTATCCTGCCCTGGTATACACCATGGGACAGCGCACTCTCGTTCCCATAACCTGTGTACGGCCTCCTACTTTAAGGTCCGTCTAACGGCAGGGGTGATGAGGAAAGGTGGGCTGCAGCAGTGCAGAAGGGCCAGAAGTGGCCGACGGGCGAGGGCAATGTGGCCGGCAGAAAGGGGCCTGCCGGCTCCTGGCACGGGGTGGGGTCAGTGAAGGCAAGGCGCAAGACGAGAGACCGTGCAGGCAGCCAGTTCCGCCAGGACCAGGGTCAAGGACCGGGCAAGGCCAAAGGGGGCGCAACACTGATATGCTGGGGCCCTGCTAACCACTAGTTATACAAGTCACCAAAGGCAGTCAACATCAAAGGTCACCAGCCGTCTTCACTGGAAACACTTTATACCATTCTGGTGGATGTGAATCCACATATTCATAATTGCTATATAATGCACAAGTACTCTTGGCTCCTGAGCCAATGAGGTGCTTGTCCACAAAATTTTACCATTTTATCTCTTCAACACATCTGACATTTTGCTGAAAAATCAACTCATAGTAGCAGGTATAGGCCTCCTGATATCCTCCATTACTACGAAAATGAATACTTTATAATATGCGGCATTTACCAATATCCTTAAAATTTATAGGGGCTAAGTATTAGCAATATATTAGAGAGTGTATCTTATGGTAGTCCAAGGGCTTTAAAACATACCTCAAAAATGGATTGGAAGTTTCAAACGAATACAACACGTCACTGAACGACACCATATTACACGAATTGACCAAAAGACACCTAAATTGGTCCCAAAACAACTAGATTTCATACTGCCTTGAAAACTAACCATTGCAGAGTACACTCTCCTTTAGGCAATTGTATTAATAAATTATAAGCAATAAATAAATAAATGATAATAAATTATATGCTACGCAGTTCCTAAACGTGATGTACTAAAACTATTCTTTAAGTATTTTTCTCTTATTTCTTTGGTGTGGCTATCTCCTTACAATCCTTAATAATATCCCTGTTGTACTCATTTACTGCCATCTTGTTTACATTATAAAGAAGTAACTTTGGTATAATTATGAAATGCTGAGTAAAGCATGACACAAATCCGAATCTCACTTTAAACAAGATGCCAACATGAGCAAGGCAATAGGGCCTATGTAATATTACAGTGGCGCAGACTTATTAAATTAGTCTGCTGTGGAAAAGAGATTTTTGTTTTCCCTGCTACACCATACTTCTAAACCATCTATTCTTATATTCAGGACTGATTTCTGACATCATCATGCTGAAGATAATTATTTTATAGCAAGAATATATAGTCCTTACTATGTCTATACATATACTTTTTGATCCCAGTCACAGTTTCGCAGTACTAGAACTTTGCTGTTAAGTCACAATTCAACTATTAAAAAGCAGTCAGTCTAGTAAATGTCCAAATAAAAGCAGTCTCTTTTACACAGCAGCCTTAACATAATGCAGCCTGACAGTGGTGCGTATGTACATATTGGACTAGATATGCTATGTCAGAGAAACAGCTTCATTCTTTCAGAAATGAGTAATTCTTACTCCTAAACCACAAGGGTGTATAACATGTAAATATATGAAACAAATAAAATAGACCAGGTAATGGAGAAATCATCTTGAACTCTCTTGGCACATTTCTGTCAATGGTTCAAAAGTTATGTGGATGACATATAGGATATTAATAAGGGGAGGGGAAGGGAATTAAGTTCCCAAGAAGGTGGAGAAAACAATAATAATGACTAGATGGAATGTCTGAGATCATAGATGAAAGATCGCTGCAAAAACTGTAATCTTTTAAAAAAATAACAAGTACACCTTGACTAGAAAATAATGCCACTTTGATCTGACAAACATACAGATGTCTAAAAATCTAAGCCACAAAGAAATGCACAAATCTTATTAAACCATTGGATACAAATGATTTAAAAATATATCATGATATAAAATTGACTGGAGATAAGCGTTGGTACCCTTAGTCTAGTGAATATGCTATCCACTGTACATATGATCAAATGCAGGGTCAATAGTCCTACCAAGTTACCTTCAGCATATATACAATGTCTTCATGAGACTTCCTCTATACTTGAAAGCTATCTAGCGCTTTAATCTATATATCTATAGGCATCTACAGGTATAGAGAAGCTAATCCTCTAGTTTGACACTAGACTAGGGGCCTCTAAACCCTTTGAGGCCATCACTTTGGTTGTCCAACTGTGGAGCTGGGAAGAGACCTTAGCGCCCTGGTCTGGTAGGTTGGGTCGTGCCCCGCCCGGCCACACGGCACGCAAAATGGCGTGAGGAGCACCAGTGCACGTGGCATCACTGCTACAGCGGCCCAGTTTGAAGCTAAGCACTTGTGGACAGTACACCCACAGACTACCAGGTAAAAACATGGGCATTTACTGAGCCCTAAGACGACAGCCAAGGGGGTGGCAGCTGCGTGGGCGCCCGGGCACAGCACAGGGCGTGAGGCAACAGACACGAGACACGCAACACTTAGTACCCTGAAGGAGCAACCCGTCAGCGGGGCGGGTTAGGACACATCCGGTGCTGGGAGATCCACATCACCCGGCCAACTCGCACAAAATGGCGTAGAGCTGATAGAGCACGTCTTAAGTATACTGTACTACTATTCTTAACAATATGATATAGTTGAAATATTATGATACGTAATATAACTTTAACAGAAGGCTTATTAATATTAAAAATATTGTTTCCATACTCTCAGTAATAACATGGCTATCAACATGTGAGAGGAGAGGGACCTTTAGTCCCAAATCCTTTTTTTTTTTTTTTTAGTACCGTGCAATTGCTCGGTACAGCGTATATACAGTTTGTGTACACAGTAGCACAGGCCTCAATTGTGGACTTCTTTCAATATCTCTCTCTCTCTATCAAAAAAATAAGAAAAAATCTGATCTGTTTTTATAGTTACCGTCCTTTCTCGCCACCTCTGAGGCCTCCCGCAGCCTGTGTAGCAACTCAAGCTCTCTGGACTCGTATATGTAGCACTTGTAGTATAGAAATATGGGATTAATGTTCATCTTGCAGAGGAAGTTATATTTTTCAAGTATTTTCTTCTCTGTTTTTTTTACTTACAACCTAGGCTTTGGATTCCTAATACTTCATACAAATGTCATATTCAAGCTATGATAAACACGAAACCATCTTCTTCAAGAATAGCTTCACCATCAGATACCCCTGCAAAATATAAAACAAATAATTAAGAACCAAATTAAATGACGGCAAAGGTTATTATCTATTTTGATACAGATTTTTTTTGTGTTTTCATAGTATTGTATACTGTGTAATATATTAAAAAATAAAAATAACGTGAATGCACTGGAACCTTGGTTTTCGTTTGCCCTGGTTTTTGTCAAATTTGGTTTTTGAGGACTTTTTTTCATCAAAATATTGTCCCAGTTTTCATTCACCTTGGTTTCCGTCTGCTGTACAGAATGTGCCCACATGCCCGTGCCCACACAAAGCATCTCACGTATGCATTCCGAGTCAGTCTGGCTTTGTTTCTTGTCTAGTGAACATTACCCTGGGTGTTCATATGAAACTTTTCATAATAATTGATTGTGTTTTGTGCTTATTGAGTGCAACTGCTAAATAAGCTGTGGGGCCAAAGAAAGTTCCGAGTTCTTTGATAAGAAGGTGAGAAACACTGATAGAATTCAAGAAAGCACTCATAGAATGAGTATTTTTTGTTAATATTTTTGGGTATCTGGAACGTATTAATTGGATTTACATTATTTCTTATGGGAATTATTGCTTTAGTTTTCGTCAGCCTCTCTGGAACGAATTTCACGAAAACCAAGGTTCCACCGTGTAATAAAAATAAATTTTATCAATTCGTAAGTAATGCCTGGGATACGTATTTCAGTTTAGTGTTTTTGTTAACACAGTTAAACCTTGTAATTCACAGGGGCTAGGTTGCTGGAGGGGACATGATCACCATGTTGCAGATACATAACAGGAAATTTCACCTTTCAGTGGCCTTTAAACATTTTTGGCCATATAAAAATAATGATGAAATTTAAATGCTGTACATGATGTGTGAACCAAATATATGCAGAAGTTAATGCTCTCTAGGGAGGAACCTGGATGCTGGTGAAGGCCTCTTTATCAAAGGGACTGGAGCTGCTGCTGCTCTTCCTTGGCTCAAATGTGATTCCCCCCCATTCCCCAGGTGCTGTATAACCCTAGCAGAGTTAGCACATCCCCATGATAATTATGCCACTTATTTGTCTACATATACTGCACTATAGTACAGGTATATTCTTGTCACACTCAGTTTAATTAATACTATGTACAATGAGATCTTGTGATACAGTATTACAATTGTGTCAAGGCAAAATACTCTTCATAATATTTCCATGTTTTGAAGAGTAATCTACATTGTTTTTTGGATGAATTCCACTTTTAGCATTATACAATTGTAATAAGTCTGAAATAAGGCATCTATCTGTCTGTCAGCTCCACACCCTATTCGTTGATAAGGAAACTAGTGGTGGCATGGCAAGTCTTGCTTGTTACCAATATGTGCTACTGAAGCAGTTTTTACTACTGATACACTGCATGGACTACATTATCCTAAATTGTTTTCCCCCACCAGGTGTGAGGAAGTGGTAGGCAACCCAAACAATAAACCTGAATCCTAAAATAATGGGAGGTAGCATATGTGAAAGCATACAGCACATATCGTACACAGTCTGGTCTCAGACATACAGTGTACGTCAGAAACAGTTTAAGGGATGAAAGAGAAAGTATACCAAGCAAAGTTATGAGGTATATACTGGGACCCGCACACGTTAAGGACTTAGTGTAACTATTACACTGGTGCTGTTATAGGATGCTCTACTGAGTGTCCCCTCAAGGAAAGTTCCTTGATGTTGGTGAGGGGCTCTTGATTTAGGGAATTGGATCTGTGCTCCAGTTCCCCGAATTAAGCCTGAATGCCTTCCATATCCCCCCCCCAGGCGCTGTATAATCCTCCGGGTTTAGCGCTTCCCCCTTGATTATAATAATAATCTACTGAGTGTCTGGTTATAAATAGTTTAATACTGTAATTAATTATTTTAATATGGTGCAAAAGCGAGGCTTGCGACATTAATTGTACAATAAAAATAATAATAATTTAAAAGTGTAGTACCTGGTCTCCCCTACTGAGTGTGGCTGTTAGTAGGGTCTGTTGGCATCCTTTGGTCGCTTGAGTTGAACCTTTAGGCGCTTCATGCCAATCTGGAAGCCATTCATCGCCTGGATAGCAGCCTGAGCTGATGCAGGGTTGTCAAAGCTCACAAAACCTATAAATATATAAAATTGTTGACTGACAGTCACATCTGTGATGGCAATATCTAACTCTAGGTAAAAAAGAATACATAACTGTAGCAGCAAATCTTTTAGAGTCAATCCAGATATTGTTTTTCTTCCACTCCCTTTATGGGGAGTATCTTAATAGTAGTGATGCTATACAAACCTTTTAGGTATAGCACTTAATTTGATTATTAATAATGTGGTGAAGAACTCTTTAGAGAACTGGAACCAACCTTCCCTTCCTCATATCAAACCTGATTTTCTCGCATTCCATAGCTGCTTTATGACCCCAACAGGTGTACTGGTTCCCCAGGAATAATAATAATCCATATTGCCTTCTATAACACTTTTCTCATTATTTTAACTTTTACTAGGCTTTACTACCAGTGTCCGCTTCTCTCCAATATTTCCACTTACAAATGCTAGCAAGCCTTGTTCCATTAACAAACATTTGCATCTCACTCTAAACAAGAATAGTGGAAGTGCCAAGGGGAGGTGGAAGCCACCCGAAAATCTAGTCCTCCAAATAATAATGTTTTAAGTCCCCTGGTCCCCCCTCTTTCATCCACTCTTATGGCCGCCTCTGAGAAGAAGTCAAATTATTTTTGATGAGTAGAAAAATAAATAAGTTTGATATATGCCAAAAATCCTACAGGGAAAAACAAATCTTCAAAGATATTATATAAGACTTGTAATATGTAACAAAAACTGCTGCTAAGCAACTTAATCATGTGACTCAAGTGTTTCAAGGCGAGGGGTATGGGGTCTTGATCCAAGGAATTATACTTTACTTCCTTTTCCGTGGATCGAACCTGATTGCTTACCATTCTCCCAGGCATTTTCTCTCGTTTAAATAATATATCCCTTTCATTTTCTGTCAAAACAATTAACAAAAATGCTATATAAAATAACTGAAATTGGAAAAATATAATTAATATAAAGAAGTCACTATTTATATATAGAAGTCCTACAAGAGGGTCATATTGAAGCTGAGGAGATCTTGATCCAAGGAAATAGAGCTACTCTCTCCTTCCTTGGATGGCAAATAATTTCGTCCCATTTCCAGGTATATCATCCTTACAGGTTTAGCGCATTCCCATGAAAAATAATAATTCATTGGTACAAAAAAACGCAGACTGACTTCAACTAAATCCCTTAAGAAATTCTGAAGTGAAGTCAATAAGCTGAAATTTGGTGCAGTCGTATTTGTAATAATGCTATAAGTAGCCTCATGTAGATGAAATATCGTATAAATAAAGGTCTCCTCTTTGCTGTATGCGTTTTTCAAGTCAACTAGCATGCCAACTTCAAAAGGAAAAACATATATGAAGGAGATCTCACCAAAGCACTTGCTCTGATTAGTAGCTCTGTCGATGAACACCTTGGAGGAGATCACATTTCCAAAAGGGAGAAACATCTGCATAAGCTCGGCATCGCCAAACTCCTGTGGCAGGTGATAAATGAAGAGGTTGCAGCCCTCGGGTCCAGAGATGGAGCAGCCTGCCAAAACAACCAAATTAAATTCAGACTGCTAGCGTGAGCCAATCTATAGAAGGGAATGTTGGAGGAACACGATGAGTTAAGTATAAGAAGGCGAGATTATTTAGTAGTTGAGTGATAATACAGTTAAGATCTTTTTCGTTGAAGGAGGAAAACTGATTAGAAAGTGTCACTAGGTTATGGTGACAGGCCAGCTAAGTCGTTAGACAGATAGTTAAGAGAAATTTCTAGTTTTAATTGAGGTTTTATGAATTACTCTGTTATATGTATAGTTAATATTCACATATTTTATTTTACTAAACATTTAATTACATGTGATGTAAGAATATACTGTAAGCATATATGATCTAACCTGTTAAGTATATATATTTAAGGAATCAAAGTTTAGGGTACAATTTTTTTTGGGGGGGAAGGGGACAGGGTTACATAACTGTAACATGAAAAAAAGTTGAGATACATAACAGGAGACAAAGACTGCTAGTACACTGAAATTTGGTGTACAGAAGTATAGTTGTACAAAAAATGATTGTTTTGACAATTCTCTGATGAGTAACATGGCATACAAAGTGAGTGCCGAAGCATGTGCTAGTTCACAGAAGCTGAATCAGAAAAGGATTGTGAAGGATGGCTTTGAAAATGGCATCTTCTCTTCACAATAAAACAATTAAAAGAACTTAAAGGGGGCAAAAGGTACCTATCAAGTGTCGACATCAAACTAAATTAAAATCTTGTGTGCTCTTTATACAAAATAATTTATCTCTATTAAACCAGTACAATAAAGCAACAAGTTACACAAAATATTATTGAATCAATTTTACCTAAAGCTCTATTACGTCTACCATAAAAAAAAAAGCTTGAAGAAATGCTTCATAATTTCCAGAAAATGGCTCAGAAAAGAGCAATAAGCACATATGCAATATTAAAGTACTACAACACATAATTCAAGAGTCCCAGTGAATAAGAGCCTTAAATGCTATAACTGTCACCTGTACTGGAAAATCGAGTTGTTTACATGTGGTACATGACTCACGAAATTGTAATAACAAGATTGTAAACAAACCAGGGAACGGGTGGGCTTTGAACACCATGGCGAGTGAGACGTAAAACTCCAGGTCAGTGTGTAAACCGTTGAGCCAGCTGGCTACAATAAGATTCATCCAACTAAGAATATTTATACACCATAGAGAAGTTAACATGGGCTACATTGTGACCACAAATGCAAGTTTTTACAAATGAATCTTCACCCAGTTAGATGTATCTTATTGTAGCCAGCTGGCCCAGTGGTTTACGCACTGGCCTGGAGTTTTAAGACTCACTCGCCATGGGTTCAAATCCACCCGTTCCATGGTATATGTGGTACATACTAATAATTCCAGTCATGTGGTTCTCACATGTTTATTTATAATTTAAGAAAGGTTTGTCTTCTTCCGTCTTGTGTTATAATTTTCGCAAGAGAGAATTAAATAAATGATGGCTTGCAGGGTCTATGTGAAGAAAATGGATTTTTTGACGATATATGGGAAATTTTCTCCAACCCTACACTGCCCTTGGTAAGACTTGATTGCCTCTCATTCCCCAAATGATGGATGACCCCTGTAGGCTTTTTTTTTTACTTTCCCAGAAATATTAAGATTCGTGTTACGCTTGTTTTAGCCATATAGTCCACTCAGTGGAACTTTCCATCATTGGATCATGGCGTTCCGCTGGTTTACCAGTCCACCCCGAGGAAAATTATATATCATATCATACGCGCATATTTTTTTTTTTTTACATTTCACAGTTTGTCCTCCCGTATACCGTACATTGAAAAGAATAACTTGGAGAAGTCAAATGTCTTAAGCTCATATCACAATGCTCTGAATACAATTAAAAAAAGCTATAAAAAGCTGGTACCATATAAGTGTACATGAAAAAAATTAACTGTGTAAAAATGCTGTGTGACCTCTACTGATTTAACACTTCCAATAAAAAATAATAATAATAATAATAATAATAATAATAATAGAGTAATAAGGTTCAAAATGACATTTTTTTATAGAAAAAATAATTAAGAGTGTCTTTAATGCACGTAACAGGAGGCAGGAGAGGGTTGTTTCTCTCGGTATATATACATTGAGAGTTTACTTTCAGTTCCCGTTTTAAACCAAGTTAACTAACCAGAAAAGGAAACCAGAGATCAGGACCCAGATATTGGGAGCTAATTAACTATTGAACAGAGGACGGAACCTCTCACTACTCTTTGCTTTAAAAGATCAATTAGGATTTGCAGCGTCGTGAAAGTGAACACAGTTTAATACAGTATAACAGGTAATAGGCAAGAATTAGATTTTATTAGAACTGAAGATACGAACACTCCACTCAGCAAGTTAGTGAAACCTGGAGGAGAAGGACCTAAGAGTTAGGCAGGTGGATGCACTGTGATCATTGTGAACAATATTGGAACAGAGCCAAACCCACCACACAGGGAAGATTTGAAGATGGCAAAAAATACCAACAAGCTGATGAGTAAGACACATGTGCAACAGTTGGGTATTTTGATAAAGATACCCAACTGTTGCACATCTGTCTTACTCATCAAGAGAATGGCAGATCTTAGGTACTGTGTGTGTAGTAATAGTTACGGTTATGCTGTTGCCACGATGCTGCTGTTTCGCTGCTGCACAGTACCAAAGATCAAGTTTATGAAGCTGAACAAGACCAATAAGTAAATTATATACATATTTTGTAGATTTTCAAGTGGAAGGAAAAAACCTAAACGAAAACTATTTTTTATTTCATATTTCATCAAAATTTGCTACATAATGTAGCATATCTTGAATTGATAAAGAAAAATACATCAATAGTCGTATTTAATTATGGATAGTCATCTAACTGAATGACTTATAAACTTTCAAAGAAAGTAATCTAATAACCTCCCATACAAGGTACAGTAAAATATTTGCCTTAATAGTCTAAAGACAGGCTTAAGTTTGCCCGAAATGCTCTGTATTTTAAGGTGTTTTCTGCATGTATACATGTCATCAATCTCTCTACATTGTATCATGCTAAAATAAAGACTGTGAATCTGAATCATAAACAGTCAGACAAGTATGCATTCATATTATATATAATTTTTTTTCTATATGAAGTACTGCACAATGAAAGTAGCCTTTCGGTTATTATTGCTATTATAATTCTTAACACACTCGAAAACTGATGAACTGTCTCGTGCACAATTTACAGACCGCTGGTGCTGATAGATTTGTAAATTGAACCACATCATATGTGGTTACGTTTTTAATGCACAATTTACACAATTACCTACTTTGCTGTGATAATGAGGAACAGTTTTCGTGAGAGTGTAATTTACATTATTCTTGGACATGTCTTTTATGGTAAAGAATTAACAATGTAGTACCATGCAATATCATTTATTTTAATTAGGGGAAAGTGCCCAACCAACTGGGAATAAACAATATCTGGGGAATGGGAAGCCTTCATGTTATACTCAAGGGAAGAAAGGAAGGTGGGCTAGAGTGCAGGTAATGAGGAGAGGAGTTGAAAAGGCATGTTGGAGATTTAAGAATGTAGCGTTAGTGTGCAGTATTAGCATGTGAGTGTAGGAGAGTGGTTATGAGTGAGAAGAGGAGTGATTGGTGGAATGAGGTAAAAAGGCTGGTAAGGGAGGAAAAGTTAGCATGTGAGAGGCTTTTACAAATGAAGAAGTGATATGATATGCAGGATATTCAGATGGAGAAGAATATGGAGAGTAAGTGGGAGGTTAAAAGAGTGGCACTGAGAGATTGGGTAAAGTCTTATAAAAAAAAATTGCTGAGAACATGAAAAAACATTTGTAGTTAGATTAAAAAGCTGAAAGAGCTTAGCGAAGCAAATTGATTTAGCACTTAAAAAAAAATGAGATTTATTAGACGTTGAGTTGGAAGTATTGAGATGGAGGGAATATGATCAGTTGCTAAGTGATAATGAAGAAAGGGAGGCAGGAATTTTATGCATGGAGCAGGAAGGTACAGCCTCCTGTAGAAGTGAGGATGATCCAGATGTGAGTGTGGGGGAGAAGTGTGTGAGGCGGTAGGTAGAATGAAAGGGGGTAAAGTAGGATAGATGCATTAAGACAGAAATGTTAAAAGTAGGTGGGAATACAGTTTTGGTATGGTTTGCGCATTTGTTCAATATATGCATGAAAGGAGAGGAGTGTACCTAGGGATTAGCAGAGAACATGCACAGTTCCTTTATATAATGAAAAATGAGAGTAAAAAATGTGTAGGAATTATAGGGTAATAAAAGTGTTAAGTATACCAGGTAAAGTGTATGGCAGTTATTATTGAAAGAATTAAGGGTAAGACAAAGTAGGAACGCAGATGAACAAGGAGGTTTTAGGAAGGGCAGAGGAATGTGAAATATGAGAATTCACTATATACATTTTTTTTAATACTTGTATTACTGCAATCTTTCTTTCTTTTCCAACTATAAGCTTTACTCTGAGACTGGGTCATGGAGGCAACGATCCCGGGAATCATTAATAGTTAACTAGAGTACTAAATATGAGCCTCAAGGAATTTTTTCCATTTGAGATTTTGGGAGGCAGTGAAAACAAGGTCAACATCAGTTGGTAACCTCAACTTTTTCAAGAATCTCATCTTTTTTTCTCTACTTTCGTTTTAAAATATGTACTCGCATTCTTCTGAGATTTTTACTTAGGTAATAATTCATCTATAAGTCATATCCGGATGAACTCAACATGGGCAATATTGAATTAAAAAATGCATCAAGGATGCCGTTAAATTAACACTCAGTTTGATATCTAATATATGACTGAGAATAAAGCAAAAACATTTAACTATGGAGATAAATAATACATATATTTTAAGTCATGACAGAGAACTTTCTGGGTATTCACTCATCCAACATATATTAAAAATAATTTCAACATACTGGGCATCATTACCAGAATACACTACTACTACATACTATAGTCAACACTACTTACTCTGTACTATTTA